GTCACTAGCGAAAGTGGTTAGATACAGACGATGAGAGTGGTGGTGATGGCGGTGGAGAAACAGGGAGTGGAATGGTTGCAGAGTGGTTCACTATAGCTGATGCAGGGGAGAGGGATGGTGAAGAAGAAGGGAGAGGGACGAAGGGCAAAATTGGGTTTTGAAAAAAAAATTATATATCACGTGGTGTCACGTGTGTATGACTTTTGATGGAACATTAACAGATATTAACGACAGGGGTAGAGCTAGTCAATTGTCAGAAAACTTAAGGGTACCACAAGATAATAGCTAAACAGTAGGGGTACCGCGTGTCATTACACTAAATAGTAGGGGTAGTTTAAGATATTTTACCCAAAATAAAAGGAACTTGAAATCATAAAATAAATTGGTGGAGAGTGGGGTCCATGGGGGATGGGGAACATGGGCTAGGCCAGGCTTTTTATATTTTTTTTCAAAAAATTTGTGGAAAGGCAAAGAACACCGACAACATAGAGGACTCAAGCTCATCTAGACAAAAGAACACCAACAACCCAGAGTACTAGGGGTGTCAATGGACCAGTTTTGGGTTGGACTCCATCCAAATCAAAATTCATTTGTACGGATTGGACGGACCAATAAGACATCTTGAATTTGGATGGACTGGATGGACCATTGTGATATATTGGATTGGACCTGGTCCGTCCATAATGAATTTATATTGGATTGAGCCAATATCTGATCCATTGATAGAAGATAAGAGCATAGGTGTCAATGGACTAAGTTTGAGTTGAAACCAATCTAAATTAATAGGAATTTGAACATATTGGATAGTCTTTGGACCGGTCCAAAATGGTCCAAAATATTCATTGGACTGGATTGGACCAAGTCCATTTGTAGTGGACTCACATTGGACTGAACCAGATTGGACCAAATCCAGTCCAATTGACACCCCTACAGAGCACTCAAGCTTGTCTAGGCAAAAGAACACCGACAACACAGAGCACGCAAGTTCCTCCTCCTCCTCCTCATCTTTTCTCTCTCTCTCTCTCTCTCTCACACACACCTCAAAGGCTCAAATGTAGAGACACCAATCACTAATGCACTCTCTACTACCCAGGATCCAACCTCACTACTTCCTCACATTCCCTTATGGCCTCGCCCTATTAAGGAAAGCTCTCTAGAAGGTAACTCCACAAGACTGGCAGTTACCAATGGAGGCTCTCAGTCCAGAATAGCAGCTGCTAATAACGGATCTTTAGCAGTTGCCAATGAAAGATCTCCTCCAAGAAAAGCAGTTACTAATGAAGGCTTTCACACAGATTTAGCAACCACTAAATTAGAGAGAAGAATATCAATCTTTGTACATAGGCAACTGCCTACTCTATTCTTAGTTTCTTTCATTATTCTTTGATCTTTGTGTATATATACTATACCCATCTTAGGCTGGTCGACAGGTCAAGTAATACAACAATTCTTTAATTTTGTACTTTCTCTCTTCTACAATTTTATATTGGTATCAGAGCTTATGGCATTACACAGTGCTGATTCGTTTGAAGCTACGAGCTCTAACTCTTATGATCTTCAAAACATGACTACTATAGTAGCCATGAACTCCATTCCCAACATTTCTCCATATTTCACTATCAAGCTGAATGGAGAAAATTTTCTTCTATGGAGGGCTCAACTTCTGCTAGTTCTCAGGGCCTACAAACTGATGGGCTTGATTGATGGTTCGGCCAAGGCACCACCAGAGGAAATTTTAGATCCCAATGATGGTAGTAAGAAAATTCTTAACCCAAACAATTCTTCATGGGTGCAATTGGACCAACTCGTTTTAAGTTGGCTTGTTGCATCTCTGACAGAGGGCGTATTAGCCCAAGTTGTTGGGCAGTCTACTGCAGCCGAAGTCTGGAGTGTTCTAGAGAGGTCATTTTCTTCTCACTCACAATCTAGGGTGCTACGACTAAGGTGGTAGCTATAAAATCTTAAGAAAGGCAATCTGTCCATAAGTGAGTATGTTCAGAAACCAAAAACTATTATAGACAATCTGTCTGCTATTTCTAAACCAGTAGCTAAGGAAGACCTTGTTCTATATGTTTTATCTGGACTAGAAAGTGAATATGAATCTCTCATCACTACTATTACTAATAGAACTGACATTGATCAGTTAGGCATCAATGATGTTCTTGGTCTACTGCTTAGCCATGAATCTTGGCTTGTTTAACATAATTTTTCTAGAGAAGCTCCCAATGCCAATATAGCTACAAATAACAATAATAATGGCAAGAATAGCAATAAAAATTCTCAGTTTCAGAATAACAAAGGGAACTATGGCCACAATAGAGGCAAGGGGTGTTGCAATCAGTCTGGACGAGGACAAGGTCGAGATAGAAGTAATACAGTTGTTTGCCAGGTATGTAACAAACCTGGCCACAGTGCACTCTAATGCTACAAACGGTACGATCTCTCGTATCAAGGAGAACATAACAATACTTCTCCAGATCCTGCGGTTGCGTTTCATTGTGGTATGTCTTCCTACAATGGCTCAACAACTAATTTCAACCCTGCTTGGTACCCTGATAGTGGAGCAACTCATCACATGACTCCAGATGCTGATAACTTACAGAACAAGTCTAAATTTTTGGGTATGGACCAAGTGAAAGTTGGTAATGGTGAAAGTTTGACAATTAAGAGTATTGGTTATTCTTCATTAAATTATGATCATTATCAGTTTAATATGAAAAATATTTATCATATTTCTGCCCTAACAAAGAATTTGATTTATGTTAGCAAATTTACAAGATATAATAATTTAGTATTTGAATTTCACCCAGATTTCTTTTTATTGAAGGATCGTATGGGGAGAATTTTACTTAGAGGACCCAGTAGAGATGGACTTTATCAGTTCTCAGGAGCCAATGATGACAAAGAAAAATCAGTTGAAGCACTTGTTGGAGAAAGAGTCTCTTTCCAGGATTAGCATCATCGCTTAGGACATGCATCGTTGAAAATATTTAAATTAGTAATTTCTAAATTTGGTTTATCTTATTCAAGACATATGAATGATCATTTTGTTTGTGAGGCTTGCCAGTTAGGCAAAGCACATCACTTAAATTTGCCAATTTTTTCTAGTAATGTCTCTCGGCCTCTAGAGCTATTTTATTCAGATGTGTGGGGACCCGCCTTAGTTTTGTCTACAAAAGGGTATAAATATTATGTTTTGTTTATGTGTTTGATGCTTTATCCACTTGAAAGTTTTCTTCGATTTATCCACTTGAAAGGAAATCAAATGTGTTTGATGCTTTTGTTAAATTTAAGAGATATGCTGAAAATCTATTTTCTATTAAAATTAAGATGTTTCAAAGTGATTGGGGAGGAGAGTTTCGAAAATTATCCCCCTTCTTGGATGGTGAAAGAATTTCACACAATGTGAGTTGTCCTCATACTCATGAGCAGAATGGAAATGCCGAAAGGAAACGTTGGCATATTATTAAGTCCACTCTCTCTACTGGCGTCCTCCTCTCTCCCCAAATCCTTTTGGGTCGAAGCTGTAGAAACTACAGTGTTTCTTATTAACCGGTTGCCTACTCTAACACTTGGTAGTCTCTCTCCTTATGAAAAGTTGTTTGGTAAAAAATCTGATTATTCTATATTACAAAGTTTTGGTTGTGTTTGCTATCATTTTATTCGACCATATAACAAGCACAAGATGGACTATAGATTTGTTAGATGCATTTTTGTTGGATATAGTTCCTCTCATAATGGGTACAAGTGCTATAATCCGATCACTTCACAAGAAATTATTGCAAGACATGTGGTTTTTTATGAGAAACAGTTTCTAGGACTCTCTCAAGAGAAGAATTTTTTTGAACCTCGGAATTCGACACCAGTCACCCTGCTACCCATTCCTTCAGCCACTGATGCGCAGGAGAATGATATCCCCTCTCATGATTCTCCATCTCTTGAACAAGGTATAACTGCAAGTTCATCTTCCACTGATATTAATGAGTCTTTATCTCATGATGATAATCAGACAGCTCAGCCACGACAGAGAACATGACTGATTCAAGATATTCTTGACACCAGACCTACTGTTCCTACTCCGGCTATACTGACACATTCTATGACTACTCGTTCCATGAGTTTCCACCATGCGCAAATTGTCACAAGGTATCTGTTACCTAAAGGACTACTTGCAGATGGTAGTCAGAATGATGTAGAACCAACTTCCTACTCTTAGGCATTCAAGTCTGCACACTGGCGCACTGCTATGGCACCTGAATTTCATGCTCTCATACAGAATGGTACGTGGCAGCTTGTTCCTTATAATTCTTCTATGAATGTTGTTGGATCTAAGTGGGTTTACAAAATTAAAAGAAAACCTGATGGTTCTATGGAACGATACAAAGTCAGACTAGTAGCTTAGGGTTTCTCTCAAGTTCCTGATGTCGACTTCACTGATACTTTCAGCCCTATTATTAAGCCAGCCACTATCCGAACGATTTTATCTTTGGTCACCTCACAAAGATGAGACATTAAGTAGTTGGATGTTCACAATGCCTTTTTGAATGGATTTATTCAAGAAAATATTTATATGAAACAACCCCGGGGTTTTGAGGATCAGACACATTCAGATTATGTCTACAAGCTTAAAAATGCTCTTTATGGTCTTCGTCAAGACCCTCGGGCTTGGTTCTCTCGACTTAGTAGCAAACTTCATGATCTTGGTTTCAGAAACTCTCAGTGTGATCCCTCTCTCTTCATCTACACCAAAAACAATATTTCTCTATATATTTTGGTTTATGTCAATGGTTATTGTTACTGGTTCTTCTGTTGCTCATGTTTCTCAACTCATTTTGGATTTTTCTCGAAGTTTCTCTCTTAAGGATCTCAAATCTCTACACTATTTTCTTGGAATAGAAGCTCATTGAGACAAGATTGGACAGTTTCTTTTTCAAAGGTGTTACGTTCTGGATCTCCTATAGAAAACTAATCTGGTAAGCTTTAAACCCTTGACCACGCCTATGGATCCCACCTCTAGATTATCTAAATTTCAAGGAGACCCACTTTCTGATCCTACTCAGTATCGCAACATTGTTGGGGTCCTGCAGTATGTGGCACTTGCACGTCCAGATGTGGCATTTGTGGTGAACAAGGCTTGTCAGTTTCTTCCGAAGCCGACCAATGATCATTGGACGGTAGTGAAACGCATTCTGTGTTATCTCAAAGGTATAGTTGAGCATGGGCTATTTTTTTGCATCTAATTCTCTTGGGTATTTTGTTGCTTTTTCAGATGCTGATTGGGCTGATTGCCCTAATGACCGTCGGTCTACTAGCAGCTACGGTAATTTTCTTGGGTCTCATTTAATCTCCTAGAGTGCGAAGAAACAACCTACCATTGTTTGTTATAGAACTAAAGCCGAATTTCGCTTATTAGCTAACTCCACAACAGAATTACTGTGGCTTTAGTCTCTACTACGGGATTTTGGCATTCGTCAATCTGTTCTGCCTATTCTTTACTGTGATAATATTGGTGCCACGTACCTGGCAGCACATCCAATGTTTCATGCTTGTACCAAGCACATCGAAGTGGAATTTCATTTTTTGCGTGATCATATTCTCCGTAAAAATCTGGATGTTCGATATATCTCTACTGATGATCAATTGGCCGATATCTTTACCAAACCTCTTGCTCCGGTTCGGTTTGGTTTTCTCCGGTCTAAGCTTCATGTGCTTTCAGCCCAGTTTCGCTTGAGGGGGCGTATTTTGGAAAGCTCTCCAGAAGAAAACTCCACAAGACTGGCAATTACCAATGGAGGCTCTCAATCCAGAATAACAACTACTAATAAAGGATCTTTAGCGGCTGCCAATTGAAGATCTCTTCCAAGAAAAATAGTTACTAATGAAGGCTCTCACACAGATGTAGCAACCACTAAATTGGAAAGAAGAATGAATTAGCAACCTTTGTACATAAGTAGCTGCCTATTCTATTCTTAGTTTCTTTTATTATTGTTTGATCTTTGTGTATATATATTATACCCATCTCAACCTGGTCAATAGGTCAAGTAATACAACATTTTTTCTTTTTTATTTTTTACTTTCTCTCTTCTACAATTTTATCTCGCCCAACCTCTCAAACCTATTAATGTCGCTGCTGGGTTGCTCTAACATGCCGCATTGTCTAGAGACATGGAAATGGCTTGATCATACAAATAAAGTGCTTATGCAAAGTTTCTTCTTTTGTATTGCTCATTGCCGACCCTCTTAATCTCCTTTGGATTTGAGGTCACCATCGCCCATTTCACCATCATTAAATGTCACCAAGAGTAGAGCTCCAATAAGCCATGCCCGTTTTCAAAATCCTGCTAGAGGGGCAAATGTTCCTACTAGGAAGAACATTCATATCCGGTGAATTAACCGAACTACCACCACTACTACCAATGACGCTTCCACTTGAGTCTATTAATGGGGCACTGCCAGAATTGGATCTCTTGTAACTCAGCTTGGAATTACGAGCCGTGGCAGCAGATCGGACGCTCTCGGAGGTAGTTGGGCTGCTCTCGCTCGAGCTAAAGAGCTCATCGAAATTATTGTTCCCACCTCCATTAGACCTCTTCACAACTAGGTTGTTCTAGTCTTTCTAGAAATAGAGCTAGAGGAACTAGATGATGGTTTAATCTGCCCACCTCCATCGAAGTTGCAATATGCCCATTAGGCTTTGAGGGAGGAGACTATCGAAGTTGTTATCGTGAGAGGCGATCTTCTGTTTGTTGTTTTTTTGGTTCAGAAGGTAATGTATAAAATGGGAAGTTGGGAAGTGGTGATAGGCGATTCAAAGAGGAGGATTTTAACGAGGGTTTAGAGCTACGAGTCGCTTAGCCGACCTATGAGATATGTGTGGAAGGGTGTACTGTAGCAGATAGATGATCAAGTAATCGTTGGGCAGTAGCGGAAGCCCGTTCTTGCTGATTGTTTGTGTTTGTCGCTATCGCTGTTGTTTCTTCCACTGCCAATCATCTGTCGTTACCACACAAACAACTGGCAACCGCTAAATGGTTTAGAGCAAGAGAGGGGAGATCAGACTTCAGAGCAAGGTTCACCATCGGTTCTGTTCAGTGCATGGTTTTTAAAAATGAACCGGTGACTGAACCGATCAGGGGTCTGGTTACCAGTTCGAACAGTCTGACCGTTCGACCTGAATGGCCAACTCGTTCTGAGAAATAAATAAAAAAAAATTGGAAAACGGTCAAAATGGTTTGAACGGTTAACCAACCGGTTCAGCGGTTTGCTGACCAAAATCAATGGTTTTGGGGAAAAAGGCAGTTTTGGGGGAAAACAGAACCGGTCATTCCCAGTTTTTCTGGTCCGGCCTGGTTTTGAAAACCATGGTTCGGTGTCATGAGCTTGAAGAAGGTAAACGGTCGGTCAAAGGTGGAAGAAGAAAGAGATGAAATTCACCACTAAGAAGAGCTTAGTTTGTCATTGCTATATAAGAAAGAAGATGGTGGAGAAGGAGGGAGAGGGGCAAAGGGTAATATTGGATTTAAAAAGAAGGGTAAATTACAAAGATCCCCCTGTACTATGGGGTCTGTGACAAAGACCCCATTTGACTGTTAAGTCAGATGACGAAATTCATTAAATTACCAAAATACCCCACTAAAATTTTTCTATTTTCTATTTTCTGCCCTTTTCTCTTAAAACCTATTTAACCTATCATTTTCCCTTTCTTCTCTTCTTTTCCCTTCCCTCACCGTCCTCTCTCATTCTTTCTCTCTCCCAACTCTCCAAAACGAAAGGACGGAGGAAACCCGTATCCCTCCCAACTCTTCTGATATCATCTTTTTCCATTGACATCTCAAAGTCAAGTAAAAGAAGTGGTCAATTTGTATAATTTATCTGAAAGGTGGAAGAAGTTTTTGGAAAAGTCAAATTTTAGAGGAAGTTAAAAGAGGGAAAATCTGTGGAGCTACCGATCGAGGAGGTAACCGGCTATTCTGGGTTTCCTCTTATGGCTGTAATTTAGCGGACAGTAAGGAAACCTCATATTCATTCTCTTTCATTCGTCCACACTTCGCGGGAATTTTTTTCTTCTCTCCAACGAATGGTTCCATTATCTTTTTCGATTTTCTTTCTCATTAGCTTATCTATCCTTCTGATTTCCTTTTTTAATTTTCTTTTGATAACCCCATTTGTTTAATGGATCTCAGTCGTCGTTAAAACTCCTACCTTTTTGTCTTTTAATCCTTTTCGAAGTGTTGATATTAGTCGCAGTAGATAGGCTGATGATCATCGCCCACTATCCAACGGTATCACAACTTGATTCTTTAAACTATCATAGACATTATTATTGCCATTATTAGAAATCGATGTCTCACCAAGCAAGTACTCTGTTTCTTCAAGATTTTGTTCTACCCATGGGTGTTTGTTCGACCTCCTTAACCCCACTAACTCTATAGCTACTTCTTTCATCGTTGGTCTTTCCTCTCCCTTCACACTTAGGCATCTCTTAGCAAGCTGAGCGACTTCTTGGAGTTGATCCTTGCTGCATTCATTTAGAACTCTGCCCTTCAAAATTACTGAAACATTGTCTTCTTTCATTGAAGTTACAAAATGGGTAGCCAAGTTTCTCTCCTTTTCAGGTCTTTCAATTTCAAGTGCTTTGTCGGGAAACGTTGACCATTCGATTGGTTACTGGGTCGATCTTCATAAGAAAATGAAAGTTTTTTTCCTATAGTTTTCATTTTGGAATTGGATCTTACGCCATTGAGCTTTGAACAACAGCTCTACTCTCTCCGAACTAGTGGGATGATGTGTTGTATATAAATTCGTGTGGATGTGAGATTTGCAATTTTAAATAACACTGAACAAATGCATCTCTAGGACTCATCAGGATCAAAATCGTGAGCACATCGTGGTTGTAGATGCAATGCAGAACTAACTAGCTCAGAGTTTCCCTGAGTGCGCTGACTCAAAACCTCTCAGAGTTAGCTACAGCTTAAAAGTGAGTTGAGTTGGCGAGCTGGGGTCTATATGCTTTTCTAAAAGGTTGTGCTTGTTGTTGTTGTTGGGGCTATTGACCTCAGAAATTGCTTTTACCTCTAGTCGATCGACTTCTACACGACACAGTGCATTGACCCTTGAGAAATAGAGAGACACTCATCCCGCTGCTGCCGGCAGGTTGCCGTTGGTTGCTATTTTCGGCTTAAAGAAAGAAAACGGCTAACGCTAGCCTACACTAACAACTAACAGCAGTAGTGTCCATTGTATGCCGTCCAGGGTGTTCTTTGTATGAACAAAGAGCACCTGGAGGAGCTGAGAGTGAAGCCCTTGTCTGCTTCGACAGCTTAAGATGGACGCTAGTGCCTGCACTGAACATGAGACTCTGGTATGCTCCACACTTGGAGCTGCCCAACGGAATGGTGCTGAAGGGGGGCGACGTTGGTAGCCATTCGACCAAGTGAGCAGACTGCCGCTAAGAAAGAGATCTCCGATAGTTCTTGGGTTTCAACAGCATTTGAGGAAGAGGAGCCGTATGGAACGGCAGCGAAGCTGCTGGTGAAAAGACGGACCTATTGTCTTGAGATGAATTCCTTCTGAGTGCAGCTAAAATTGAGGTAATTTTACCAAATCCTCTTCTTCCCCTGGTCATCGGGTGCAGGATAAAGTGGTAGCGGTGAACTGTGTAATGAAACCTAGACCCTTGACAACTGCTCCTCTTGTGGCCGAGCTGCAATGAGTTTATCCTCGACAAGATCCAACAATATTAAGGAGGATACACTTCCTTGGGAAGAAGAAAGGGGAAGTGGAAGAAGAGAGACGGGGAGAGAGGGAAAGAGGAGGGAGGATTTCAGAAGTCTGCCCCGCTGCAACAGCTACATGAGGTTTGGGAAGATGAACAGTGTTTTTCTAATAGTTATTAGAAGGGTAGTATGGGGATTAAAAAATATTGTAACCGCCGATTTCAACGAAAGGGGGTTTTTGTCGCAAAACAAAGTCCAGGTCTTTGTCACAGATTCCCATAGTGCAAGGGTCTTTGTAATTTATCCAAAAGAATTATATGTCATGTCATGTGGTGTTACATGTGTACGAATTTTGATGGAATACTTAGTGATGCTAATGATAAGGGTAGAATTAGTTAATTGTCAAAAACAATAGGGGTGGTTTAAGACAATAGTTAAATAGTAAGGATAGAGTTTGTTAATTAACTAAACAGTAGGATAGTTTAAGAAATTTGCCCTAAAATAAATTAGTGGAGGGTGGGGTCCATGCAATGATGGAGATCATGGATTGGACTAGGCTATGCACTTATAATAAGAACTACAACTTAGGCCGGGGCCAAGCTTGGCCTCGGCTCAAGCCTACAATTTTTGGGTAGGGCTGAAATGATCATCCCTAGCCCAGTTTCCCCCTATTTCCTTTTGACCAAAAACATAAACCCATTTCCGTCTCTTACACCTAGATCCAAAGCAATCCCTTATAGGGATGCAAATAGATCGAATCGGATTCGAATCAAGGTATATTTAAATCTGATCCAACATTGTTTGTATCCAATTGGATCTGATAGGACACAATTTGAATTTGAATCCTATCGATAAGTCGAATCTTCGAATCTGATCCGATATGACTTGTTTTCTTTAAAAATTAACAAATTATTAAAAGAAAAATAAAATATACTAATTTAAATAAAGTAAAAACAAAAAATATAAGTATTTTTATCATATATATATATATATATATCTTTTTTATAAAACTAAATAATATAATAAATCTATAAAAAATATATTTATAAATAAATAAATAACATATATATGTATATAATATATATAATATATCAGATAAGATCTTATCGAATTGGATAAGGGAGATCTGAATATGATCAAAATTTTGATCGAATCCTGTTATCCAATCCAAAGATCCGAATTTGACCAAATAGGACCGGATCGGATGATCCATTTTCACCCTTAATCCCCTGGGCCCTATTTGTAATCGGATCTACACTCGATATATATATATATTCGATTGGTGTGCTCTCTCCTTGCAACAAATAGAATCTACTCGTGCGAGTAGATTGAGAGTCGCACGTGAGAGCAATCCAATCGTGTTAAGACTTAAGTTCCTTTTGAATTGCATGTGATTTCCCTTTCGAGTTTTCCTGTTTTGACTTTCCCTCAATCACGTGCTTTTGCTGTTTTTCCCTCTGTCGCTGCTGTCGGAAGGAGAGCCCGCCATTGCCAAGGAGAACGAAGGAGGTCTTCTTGTTTTTCTCTCTTCCTCATGAAAGCAAATTTGGCGTTTGCCATTTTTCCCTCTGACGCAACTGTTGGAAGGAGAGCCAACCATTGCGAAGAACGAAGGAGGCCTTTCCATTTTGCCCTCTTCGTCATGAAAGCAAATCTCGATTCTTTCTACCGTTTCTAGTTTTTTTAGGGGTTTCAGCCTGAAACCACATGCAAAAGATTTGATGTTTGCAATAGATTGCAAAAAGGAAAAAAGGAAGAAAAGAAAAAGCTTACTGGCAAATTCAACACCTCAGACGTCTCTGAATTGATGATTTGGGTGTTCTCCATTGTTCTCTTTCTTCTTCATCAACCGATCAAAACAAGAGATCTTTCATTTCTTTCTGTGGTTGCTTGGTTGCTACCGTCCCTTCTACTGTTAGTTGATTTCTCTCCCCCCCCCCCTGTGCCTCTGTGTCTGTGTTCTCTGTCTTGCGCAGTAAGATAGGAAAAGAGAGAAAGAAAAGAGCTACCTAGATTTGTTACTGGCAAATTCAACACCTCAGACGTCTCCGGAAGTGATGATTTGGGTGTTCTCCATTGTTCTCTTTCTTCTCCATCAACCAATCAAAATGAGATCTTTCATTTCTTTTTGTGGTTGCTTGGTTGCTACTGTCCCTTCTGTTAGTTGATTTCTCTCCCCCCTGTCCCTCTGTGTTTGTGTTCTCTGTCTTGCGCAGTAACATAGGAAAAGAGAGAAAGAAAAGATCTACCTAGATTTGTGTGAACATGAAGAGGGGTTCGAGGGAGAAGAGAACAGGCTGGCTATGTTCTTTAGAAATAGTTGACCGGCGATCAACGGTCAACAATACATACGGAAGATCCAATGGCTGGTGACGATGAATGCAGGAGCCAGGTGGCGACGACTTGCTCCAACAATTCGGTCGACGCTTTCATACATATGCAGGGTTGAACCATTTTTTAACCACTGAACTAGATCGGTTAAAAGCATGAAGTATGAATGCTCCCCAACTGGTTCCAATAATCCGTTTACACGTGGGTTTGATCATGGCGTAAAAGTGGAAAAATGAGTCTCGCTCGTGTGCATGTGATTCCTTATTTCCTTTCCTCCATGATCCAACCTATTTGAAGATTTTCATTTTTCATGTTCTTTTACCTTCCACTTGCCCTTGCATCGCAGGGGCCTTTCCACTAGTACGAAACGAGTGGTCTCTCCTTTTGCCACGTGTTATCTTGTGTTTGTTTACTATTTTGATGATGTTTAATCGATTAATTTTTAAGAAATCAACAAATTGATAAAAAATGATTACTAAAATCAGTCTTAAATATAACTTTTTGGGTAAATTATAATTATTTATTGAATGAAATAGCATCTTATATCTTAAAACCGTTTTGGCCACTGGTTTTCGAGTTGATGATTCGATCGTCTAATTCGAATGGACGGCTCGTTGTGACAACAAAAGTTAAAATATAAAAGAAAAGGTCAAAAATCATTGAGCGAGTCGACAGGTCGATGGTTCGATTGCTCGGGTCATTGGGTCGTTAACCGATTCAACTGTTTTTGTCTAGGGACCGGGATTGGGGTAAAATGGAACCAGTTACCTGGACAGTTCCCAGGCCGAATGGTCCAACTGTCCGACCATCTAGGTCAACGGTGGTTCGAAAACCATGTTTTTTTTTTATGCTTTTGGATTTTCACTATTCAAATGTTTCTTTTGTTGTGTGCTTTATTCGAGCGTGTACAGTTTGACGAAGGTATGTTCCTTTTTTTTTTCATTTTCTGCTTTTGTTTTTTTTTTGTCTTCTTCTTCTTCAAGATCCTCCAAAACGGTTTAGGGTTTACCACCATTTTATTTCTTCTCTTTTGTTTTTTCTTTGGGTTTTCATGTGCAATGCTTTTTTTTTTTTTAATTTTCTTACAAGGTGTTTTGCTTTGCCTCTTTCTTTGATTGCGTATGTGTTTTGCTCCATCTCAAAATTGAACTTTGGACTCGATTTTCTAATTTTTTTCCTTGGGTTTTCTAGTTTGGTGGGTTTGCTGCTATTTTTTTTCTGTGTTTAAGGTCACTTTGGATTTATTTTTCAAGGTTTTGAAATCCCTCACAATGTCCACCCTTCGCATGATTATGACTACGAAGTTATTTTGTCTAATTATTGACATCTAGAAAAAATGACTCGGAAACGAAATCATTCTGGCCACTGGTTTCTAGGTCGACGGTTCGACCATTCGGTTTGATCGGATAACAATCCGTTTTGACAACAAAAATAAAAAAATAAAAAATGGCCAAAATTTTTGAACAGGTCGATGGGTCGATGGTTTAACCGCCGAGATCAACGGGTCATTGATTGATTCAACAGTTTTTGGCCAGGGATCAGGTTTGGGGGTAAAACAAAACCGATTGCTTAGACAGTTCCCAGGTTAAACGGTTCTACCATTCGTGTCAAGTAGGAGTTCTCAATATGAAACAAATGACAGTTATAAAGTAGAACTCAGAACTATCATTGTATGACCGTATTTTTTTATATGAGATGCTTTGTTGAAACAATATTTAAAAAATGAACATATGATGATTTCTTTTAATTCTTTATATTAATTTCAAAGTACTTATAATTACAAATTTCTTATTAAAAAAATAATAATAAATAACAATATCTTTAACGTAGCAAATAACAATATAACAATTCCGATACAACCCGGGCCCGTCCGCTAGTATACACATTTGTTTTGTGACACAGAAAACCCGTATTCTATATGGTATAGGATTCGGCCCAAAACCAAAACCCGTTTCTTACCGATGAAGCATTCTTCTTTTGAGAGTACAGTATTAATTCGAGTCCGGATCTGGCGGCTGGCGGCTGACGCTGCCCTAAACGAGACCGGATGTACTCCTAACATATGGCGCTTCATACGCGTCTTACACGCACATCCTACGAGAATATCTCCCGTATTTATAAATTATCATTGCAGCCGTGTATTGGGACCGGACCGTGTATCCGGGATAACGGGAAGAGAATCTGGAAAAGTGCCGTTAGTATTGGGTCCGTGTACCACTGACGAAGTCTACTCGCCTGAACTTTACTTTCTGGAATTCTGCTGGTTTCCCATGTCATTAACTTCAAAAACTAGAAATCCCGCCATTCTTGTGCCGATTTAAGCTCTCCGAAGACGGAAAAGGAACAAACACAGAGATGGGTTTCGTCGCTCTGCTTAAGTTGGTCGCCAAAATCATTGATCTTGCCTGGTATGCGAATTTCTTGTGATAAAATTAGAGAAAGAAGGAAATTTTGGATATATATAACGTATTTCTTCTTATTTCTATTTTCTGAATGTTTTCTTTTCGTTCGTCTTCAAAGAGGAGTCTCGGGTGATTAGGCTAAGAACCTCTAATGGTTCTTCTCATTTTGCAATTTGATTGGAAAGAAAACTCACTACTTTGCAGGAACATTGATGGGTTCATAATTTCTCCTTTTATCTCTCTATTTCTCTCTGTTAAAGGGCTAAAGTGGCATCTAGAGAAGCTGTTGTTTTTCTGTTTGCTCCATTTTTTATTGTTTTTTGACTGTAGGGTTCTTGATATTCTCATTGTTCTTTGTTTCTACAGGCCTCTAATTACTCTAGTTTATCCAATGTAAGTGGTTTTTCCTTATTTTAGTTCGATTGTAAGATGCTACAAGCAAGCTTCATCCATTATCGTCTGAATTTAAGTGTTTTGTTTAAGTTTCAGTGTTTTCAATGAGGCCTTATTTTTTGGTCTTTTGTATTTGCTTATAGATATTCTTCAATTCTCGCAATTGAGAGTAACTCCAACGCTGAGAACCAAAAATGTCTCACTTACTGGGTTCTCTATCCTCTTATTATTCTTTTCAACTCTGCATCTCTGAAACTCATTGAGTGGTAAGTTTGGTACCTTTCATCATTCTGTCACGAGGTCTTGAACATTATTGGATCTTTATTCAAGTCATCAAAATGAAACTGAATTAGTGGAGTTAACCTCTGATTACAATTAATATATGCACCACAGTTGTGACATTTCCCATTTGATCCTATTATCACCTTTCTGAAGTAAAAATTCATATTGATAACTGCTCATTTCCCCATTTTACCAGGATCTTCTTTTTTCGTTATTGTTGTCCCCTACTCTACTCCACTTTGTTTTACCATAACAAGGTATTTCAACACTTCACATTTACTCAAAATCCTCCTTTTTTCCAGGTTTCCATTTTGGCCTTACCTGAAATTGATGGCTGCCTGCTGGTTGGTGCTACCCCATTTCAATGGTGCTGCTCGTGCATATAAACACATTGTTAGACCCTGGTTCTTGATGAAACCACAAATATTTTGCGACTGGTTTGTTAAGCGAAAAGAGGATTTTGTTCCAAGTGGATCAGAAGATTTCCTAGTTGCAGCCGAGAGATATATAAAAGAGAATGGATCTAAAGCATTGTCAAAACTCATAACCAGAAAGGTAAGACATTATAGTAGAGTATTGCATTTGGATGCCTTCTTGCTTAATTTCTCCAAGATCCTAGATAAATATCAATAAAGCAAATAGATGAAGCTCTGACTCTCTAATGTTCTCAGAGTCATAGCTTATCTGCTTATATTATCATCTCCACTAAATTCCTTTCTATTATTTCTTCTGGAAATAGGACCCACTAAGGGTAAGGAACATAAGAGTGTATTGTGTTTAAGCTTTATCACTTGCAGGAAAGGTAAAAAAAAAAAAAAATGACAAAACACTGCTGAAAAGTTTGATCAAAGTCATGATGCAATTAAGAAAACCAAAATGCAGAATAGAGTAAGAGTTCTGTGGTTCGGCAGAACACCTATGTCAAAGGGATGACATGAGAAAGTTTTACACCAGGAAAAATTAAGATTTATATGATCGATCAAAAAAATTACGATTTCTATGTAGCCTTTTGTCTCACCCCTACTCCTGTCCACTATGAACTCTAGAAGCATGCAGAGATGTACTCACACACACAGACATACTTGGTGCAACTACTGGTTTTCCCCCTCTATAAAAAATTCTCTTTTATTGGGCATTTCATGGTGAGCAGTCACTGAACATTTTTCAATATAGTAAATCTATCATAAAACAAAAATAAGTTCTAGTCCAAGAGCAAGGGGCCATTGATTGATGTAGTCAGCAGCGACAAATTCTCAGGCTAGCAAGTGCGATAACAAAGGTTCAAGTCCAAGAACAGCTCAACAGCCACATTTGCAAAAGAAATGCCAAGAGGTAGGTCCATATCCGGTCTAACCGCCCCAAGACTATCATTGAGTGGTGACCCTTTAGTTAATGGGATAGGCACTTGATCTGTAACTGTTTCATGTATTTAATTCTTTCATTTTGGCCTAAATAATAATTTCAGAGACACCTTTGCAGGTGCATTATTGCATCTCCACTAAATAGATTTAACCTTCTAAAGTAGTGGGGCTTTGACTATCCGTTTTAACCATTCTATTTTCTGAATATGTATGTTCCTTGAGTTGCCCATGAATAAATTCCAAGTTAATCCATGTTATAGGCTTGCAACATGGAGCCTACTATTGTTGAGAAAGTGACTGAAGCAGTGACAACCATTGATAACAATGTGGCAGTGGCTTCAGAGGAGGTAAGGATTTGATTCTTCTTCAAGACACAACAATGAACACAATGAATTAACTGTCAGTCTTAGTATAAATATTTAAGTGCTTGGATCCTACTTTTCACTTGTTCTAGGTTAAAGGATAAAGCATTGATCTCTGTTTGCTGAATGACCTCTACTTTTCTTTACTCTAGGTCAAGTGCATGGATCCCAGTTTTGCTTGGACAGAAATGGTAGAACACACTGGAAATCAAATTCCTATGTTAAATGGCCCAAGGATAGTGTCGACAGCAAAACATTTTGGAAGTGAAACTCCCCATTTCACTGGTCCACCAGAAACAGCAGAATGTGTTGGAAGTCAAATTCCTGTGTTAACTGGCTCAAAGAAAGCACAAAAGGAGTGGACTTGTGCACTCTGTCAGGTGAGCACTAATAGTGAGTCAGATCTACAAAGTCATCTTCATGGGGAAAAGCACAAGGCTAAGGAGGCAGAACTTGAAGCAAATAAGAGAATAACCAAAAACAAGGCTACCTCTATTCCAAAACTGAAGAATGACGGTCAGTCCATGGTAGCACCAGACAGAGATACTTTTAGTAATGAACCAGAGCCTAAGGATTTTGGTAGTCAAATTCCTGTGTTAACTGGCTCAAAGAAAGTACAAGAGGTGTGGACTTGTACACTCAATCAGGTGAGCGCTAGAAGCAATACAGATCTACAAAGTCATCTTCATGGAAAAAATCACCAGGCCAATGTGACAGAGCTTGAAGAAAATAAGAGCATAACTAAAAACAAGACTACCTGTATTCCAAAACTGAAGAATGCTGGTGAGTCCATGGTAGCACCAAAGATAGATACATTTAGTAATGAGCCAGGGCCTCAGAATGTTGGGAGTGAAATTCCTCGGTTCACTGGTCCACCAGAAATAGCAGAATGTGTTGAAAGCTCAAAGAGAGCACAAGGCAAGTGGACTTGTACACTCTGTCGGGTGAAAGCTAGTAGTGAGATAGATCTACAAAGTCATCTCCATGGGCGAAATCACAAGGCCAAGGTGTCACAACTTGAAGAAAATAAAACCATAACTAAAGACAAGACTGTCTATCTTCCAAAACTGAAGAATGCTGGTCAGTCCATGGTAGCACCAAGTAGTGAAATTCCTCGGTTCACTGGTCCACCAGAAATAGCAGAATGTGTTGAAAGCTCAAAGAAAGCACAAGGCAAGTGGACTTGTACACTCTGTTGGGTGAAAGCTAGTAGTGAGATAGATCTACAAAGTCATCTCCGTGGGCGAAATCACAAGGCCAWGGTGTCACAACTTGAAGAAAATAAGATMATAACTAAAGACAAGRCTGTCTATCTTCCAAAACTGAAGAATGCTGGTCAGTCCATGGTAGCACCAAGTAGTGAAATTCCTCRGTTCACTGGTCCACCAGAAATAGCAGAATGTGTTGAAAGCTCAAAGAAAGCACAAGGAAAGTGGACTTGTACACTCTGTTGGGTGAAAGCTAGTAGTGAGATAGATCTACAAAGTCATCTCCATGGGCGAAATCACAAGGCCATGGTGTCACAACTTGAAGAAAATAAGATAATAACTAAAGACAAGGCTGTCTATCTTCCAAAACTGAAGAATTCTGGTCAGTCCATGGTAGCACCAAGTAGTGATACTTTTAGTAATGAACCAGGGCCTCAGAATGTTGATAAACAGGGTGAAAAGATGGCGGAAGCCAAGGCTCAGAAGAAAAATGAACCTTGGATGAGAGAATCTGCATTATGGTGCGATACATGCAAAATACGGTGCCCTGGTGAGTCACAAATGATCTCCCATCTTCTTGGCAAGAAACACAAGGCCAAGCTGAACGAACAGGCACAGTAAAAATAGGTAGTGACCTCATTGAATCCACCACAGGAAGGTCAACAATAACAGATATGTATGTTGAAGTTATGGAGGTTAGTTTTGAAAAAATGAATATGATGTACAAGGGTAAATGAGGTGGAACAACTTGGGAGAGGAATTATCCTAGACAAAGTTGTGTATCTGAAAGTGAATATTCTATACTAGACAAAGTTAAGAGGTTAGACTTGGGTTTTTTTTTTTTTTAGATTACTGGAAGTGAATGTTCTATACTCCTATGGTGATTTTTTCTGATCCTAATTATACTGCGGGAAGGGTTATAGTAGAAGGTGTATTTTGTTGGCAATCCCTTTGTTTCCCTCTCTCTCTTTGCCCAGGGAAGTGATTTCTGGGCAAAAATTGCCCGATAACTCTGATGTCAGTGTTGTTACATGTTTTCACTTATCTGGGTAAAGAGAGAGGCAGGAGAGGATTAATGTTTTTGGCGGGTGGATAAGCAACTTATCCCTCAAGGACCGGACAAGTTGCTTTGTATGAAACCCATTAGTGGCGCAAGAACATAGGGAAATTGATCAATTACCCGGTTTACCAATTTATCCCATGATACAACAAATGTACGGGGCCTTAGACACAACAATTTATATAATTAGCCTAGTTATTTGAAATCAAATTCGCATGTGATGATAGAGAGCTTGAGGTTTAATACCCAGGCTTTAACCCCCCAACTTCGCTCTCCATTGTTTGTTTGAAAGTGTAATAATTACATTATGAGGTATATGGGTATTGGTGAACTTTTTTTTCTCTCTCAACTCTGAATGCAAAGAATGTTTTTTTGAATTCTGAAAACTGTCACATGTCCATTTTAACCCCATATATGAGATTTTGTTTGTCTATGTAATTTAATAAAAAATAATATTAAAAACTATTATAATGATTAATAATTAATTAATAAAAATCAATAATTATTAATAAATAATTTGTGTTAATTAATAATTAATTATAATCATTATTACTATTACTATTTAATGATTAATACTAATTAATTAATATAATAGTTAATAATTAATTAATTAATATTTATTTTTTAATTAAAATATAATTTATAATTAATAATAATTATTATAATAGTTAATTAAAATTTAAAAATTAATAAATATGAATTATTAATTAATATAACAATAATATTATTCAATATTTAATTAATAAGTAATTATAATTAAGAATTAAGAATTAAGAATTAACAATGATAATAATTATTAATTTTTTGTAATTCAAAAAATAAATAATATTAAAAATGTTATTATGATTAATAATTAATTAATATATTAATAATAATGATTATAATAATTAATATTATTGATTACATAATACTAATTAATTATTATTATTAACAACTAATAAATAATATTTAATATTTAAGTTATAACAAATACTTATTATTATAATAATTAATTATGAATTATGAATTAATAATAATTATTTAAATATTAAATATTAATTGTTAATAATTATTTATAATAACTTTGGAGCCGATGCATTGATTTTTTTTGTCGCAGTCGCAGGGACGACAGTTTATTATAAGAGGATTAAAAAGGACACGGTCGTTAGCCTGATGCCTGGTATCTCCTGCCATGCTGCCAACTGAACACGTTCCAACACCATTCCAACGTATGCGGTGTGAGATAGCGTTGGAATGGTGTTGAACGTATTACTATTTTGATGGCAGAGGAGATTCGGACTCCGGACCTGGGTCTCGGGTGTGGGCATGCAGTCGTAGAGGTAAGAGGAGGGATACTTTTGGAATTTCGAAATAAACCTTGAAAAATGAAGAAACCGTAAATTCGAGGGCAAATTACAAAAAACCTGAGCATTCAACGAATCGGACTTCATTCGGTGTCACATTTATTTTCTTTCCAAGTTCCAACTTTTAACTTTTCGGGGCAGCGATAAGTTTAATGACTCCAACAAGGGATTAATCCCTTGTGGATAGATCAAATTTATACAAACATTTTCCCTACACTGCTAACTGCTAAGATGTTTTAATCTCGTAAAATTTCGGTTCATAATGCCTGTAAATATGATATGCAAGCCTCACATGAATGATCTGATGTTGTATTAATGTTAAATAATTAATATGCTTTTTTCCCTACACTTCATAATGCCTTGTATTCAAACGTTAATTGTACTTTGGGTCCAAGAATTTTGATTCTGGGCTGAATCGTCATTCTCCTAACTTTTCGCACAATAAATGCGTCATGCATGGGCGAATCACTGTGTCCTGACGCCTTTAAAGATCATCATCACGCACATCATTTCCTAGGTGAGTTGATTTAAGATGTAGTTAAATTTATGATTATGTGGCAAATTAAAATCAGTCATGTTGAAACTAATGCACATCTTAGCATGTATTTGGAACATTTCATGTATTTGTCACTCGGAGACCTTTTCAATACACTATTGGGATGTACCGTGGGAACTCAAATCTGCATCTTTACATGAACAGTCCAGCTAACGTACCAACTTTTTTTTTTGGTAATAGCTAATGTACCAAGACACCCCTCAATTGGTAAAAGGGTGGATTCTCATTTTCCTGAAAATTGAGGTTATTAGGATGTTCATCAAAAACCAAAAATTGAACGGAACTGATGAAACTGAATAGGAAATCTTATCAATCTAACTGATCAGTTCGATTTCAGTTCAATGTTTTGAAAAAAAAAATCAAAGGTATTGGTTTGATCTCGGTTAACTAATATGAAAAAATGGTAGTTAATTGAACTGACCGGTATATATATATATATATTATATATATATATCATATATTTCTAATATTTATATATTTATTATATATTATTGATGGAGGGTGATTTGGCGCGACCTAGTAAGTAGAGGTCACGTGGATGTGATATGCCCGAAGGATGACAACTCAACGAAAAGAGCCCAGTCAGCAATAGTTAGAGCTCGGGTGTTCGGTCACCTCGGCACAAAACCACCTTGGCATAAAGGCATCTCGGCACCTAATCCAGTTCGGGCTTAAGACCCGGAGTGACACGTCATCAACTCCAAAAGCTGCCCAATGAACTCCGAACCTCATGGGATCACACCGCATAACGGAATGCCTTATCTTCTCCCCGCCTAGACCGAGCGGAGATGATAAACCTCCTTAATTGGTATGTTACTCCCTGACTAAAGCGGAAACAAACCTCATCTACTCAGACCGAAGATCTTGGGACCGTTTCGTAAGACCCATGACAACTTAGCTATAAAAGGGCTACAACCCCTCCAAAGCCCAGGTGATTTAGCGCGATCTGGCTACTCCCAATTGGAGGTCATCTGGCTTCCAGACGGACGACGGACTGAACCTGCAAGGATGTCAGAGAACCCCAGGATGCTAACTCAGTGAGGTCGCTCCGATGCTTAAGTTAGTAGGCTAGTAGCGAGCTAAAATTGCTTGAAAGTAGAGAGTTTGAGAGCAGGAAATCACACATACCTTGCACCCCCGAGGGGTGGAGCCTTTATATAATGGAGTCCTCACAGGTTTTGTGGAGTGGTTTCGGGATTCTCGTCATGGTGAGATATGTTTTCGCAATAATGGGGATAACTTGGGGCTTATCGAGTCCGCCCGAATCGGTCAAGGGGAGATAACGCTAGCTGTTACGCAGCGTGATCCCGCGAGGCCCGGAATCTAATGGCGAGATCTTTGGGGTTTCCATGTAGTGGTCTATTAATATTACCCAAGCTACTGCTCTTTAGATCCGGCCTAGGGCGAACACCGAAGTGCCTTGGGACCGAAGTGGTCCTGATCCGACCTTATACCGAGGTGAACTCCTCCCGAGGTGGTTTGATTATCCGAGCTCGATTTGTTGCGGACTTGGCATGTCGGGCTGAGCTGTCATCTTACTAGTTAGGTCGCATCCACATGTCCCCCTGTTACTAGGTCGGGCCAAATCGCCCTTCATCACCAGGTATGCGCGATTGTTTACATTCAAGCTCCTTAATATCCAAAGCTTTAGTTCGCAACCATAGCATATTACTAACTTAAGCATCGGAGTGACCTCACTGGATCTTCCACCCGGATTCTTTGATCTGTTTTCTTGCAGTTCGAACTAGCTCACTACACAACTAGCTCCCAAGTCATCTTCCAGCTAGGAGCAGCCAGATCGCGCATCATCAATTATAAATTAAAAAAAAACTAAAAAACCAAAAAACCAAACTGATCAATTGATTAGCTAATTAGTTTTGATTCAGTCTAATTTGATGATCAACCCTTGATAGATTAGTGTGATTTGTACCAAGTAGACCTGGCAATTGGGTCGGGTGGGTCGGGTTCAGGTTGGGTCAATATATTTTTGCTTGATTTTAGGCTAGGTTGAATTTCAGGTTGGGTCATGAAATGCTAGACCCTAACCCTAAATGTTCGGGTTAGGGTTGACCCATGGGTCATTTCGGGTCATCCCAAAAAATAGTGGAATTTAAAAAATAATAATGAAAAATACATGAAAATACTAAATTTAAATGAATTAATCTTAAAATAAAAAACTTGAACATTTAATAATTAAAAAGTAAACAATAAAGAATAAAAAATAAATAGTAAAGATTAAAGAGTGAAAACTTCTAACAAATACATAAATAGTCCCAATTAGACTTGGCAATAAGGTCAAACAGGTTGACCAATGACCCAACCCAATCTAACCCATTTTTCTCCGAGTTGGGTTGGGTCGGTTTCATAGGTTGGGTCAACTTTTTGCCATGTCTAGTACCAAGATATCTCATTTTTTTCAATTCTCAGTAGTATCATTTGGCTCTATTTGGAATAGGGGTGGCCACGAGCTGAGCTCTTTACGAGCTATTCGAGCTCAGCTCGGTTTCAACCGAGCTTCGAGCCCAATTTACAAGCTCTTTTATTAATCGAGCTGAGCTAAGCCAAATAAAGCTCGGCTCGTGAGCCGAGCTTGAATAGCTACATAATAATAAAAAAAATAAATAATAATAATAATAATAATAATAACAACAACAACAACAACAACAACAACAACAACAATAATAATAATAATAATAATAATAATAATAATAATAATAATAATAATAATAATAATAATAATAATAATAATAATAATGATGATGATGATGATGATGATGATGATGATGATGATGATGATAAATATAAAATTATAGAAAATAATATATATAATAAAAATATTATATATATAATATTTTTATTTTTATATATAATAATAACTAATTATTATAATTCTTAATTTTTTAAATATCAAATAAAAGTATTTTTTATATATAACTTT